ACGCCAACAGCGTAACGTGTTGTTTGCTGCGGCCGTGTGGAACACATGCTGGTGAGCTCAGTTGGAGAGCGGTGTCACCGTCTCGGTTATGCTAACCGGAGGCACGAGACGCTGGTCCACCTCGAACATCTTACTCCAATGAAGCCTCCATCAGGCTCGGCTCCAGAGGGCACGGAGGGACTTTCCGCTCAGTGAACCCCTGCTCTGGCGATGGGTGCGGACTGTGGAGACCGGCTCCCCCAATCTACCAGGAAAGAACCCATCTGTGGCCTCGCCCGTAGGACGTCCTGTTGGGAGCACGAGGCCATATGGATCAAGACGGTGAGCCGGAATGGAGCCCAGTAAACAACCTTCCCGCCGGATCATCCGAACTGGCGGGAAAGGCGTAGGACGTAAAAAAGGGTCCTTTCATGTCAGCCGCCTCCTGGGTTACGCCGGGCAACCCCTGAGGGCGCCGTCGGCCGGGAGCGGTGTGATCGCCAATGCGAAACGAGGTGGGATGGGGTGAGCATTCACTCAGCCCCCCTCCACCAACACTACGCTCCCCAGGAGGGAATGAGCAGCGGGGGCTGCAGCTGAGCACGCCTGTCCCGGAGGAACCATCCGATTCACTCCGAGGGTCGGCGATAAGAGGAAAAATACAAGATGGCGTTGTCCAGCGTGTAGTGACCTGTCACTGGGAAATATTCCTCGGCGCTTACCTTGAAATAAGACTGCTTGTCAGCTTCTCCTCGGGGAGGAGAACTCACCGGACGACCGGAGGTCGACTGCCGGGCCAAGCATCCTTAACAATGGTTGGTCATCTACACTATTTTCCTTCTTTGTTCTTCTGACAGTGCTATTTTAGCTCGCTGAAGAAAAAATGGGAGCCGATTTCCCGCTCTTAACGTAATTTATACGGACCGGGTGGGGCCCACACAGCAGGTGGGCGTGGACTAAATTTTTTTCAGTGCTAATGCTCCGCATAACGGGATAAACCCACTAAGCGAAAGCTCTTAAAGGGCGAAGCCTATACGAAATAGAACTGAGACGTTTATTTTCTAAACATAACGTCCCAGTGGCTTTTAAACCCCAAAATACATTATGGCAAAGACTGGTTCATCCCAAAGATCCAGTCCCCTGGCACAAACAGAGTAATATTGTGTATGCTGTTCAGTGTCAGGAGGGCTGTGATCAGTCTTACATCGGGGAAACTAAACAGCCACTGGCCAAAAGGATGGCCCAGCACAGAAGATCAACATCATCAGGCCAGGATTCTGCGGTCTACACTCATCTCCAGGCCAGCGGTCACTCTTTCAGGGATGAAGATGCCTCCGGGTTCAACTGTCCCCCTCTTACAATGCTGTGATTGCTAGTATCACTCAGCCCTCTGTGAATAGTAAACAGCCATCAGTGTGCTAATGATCCATTGTTAGGCTGATGGTCCTTCTTGAGCATGTGATCAGCTGGTTTTGGTTGTCAGCAGCAAAACTGGTTGATCCACTCTGAGAAGGTGCTATTTAAGAGACTGAGTTGAATACAGCACCTCAGACTGAGGGAGTCTCTCGGATGAGAGACGAAACGTTTCTACATTTTTTTGTTGTTTTGCTTTGTTTTGTTTTTTTGAATGTCCAGAGGACCAGATTTAACTTTTTTACATTTACCAGTGGTTTTGGCACTGTGAGCAGGTGCCAGGTCGTGCTGAAAAATGGAATCTTCATCTCCATAAAGCTTTTCAGCAGATGGAAGCATGAAATGATCCAAAATCTCCTGATAGCTAGCTGCATTGACCCTGCCCTTGATAAAACACAGTGGACCAACACCAGCAGCTGACATGGCACCCCAGACCATCACTGACTATGGGTGCTTCACACTGGACTTCTGGCATTTTGGCATTTCCTTCTCCCCAGTCTTCCTCCAGACTCTGGCACCTTGATTTCCAAATGACATGCAAAATTTGCTTTCATCTGAAAAAAGTACTTTGGACCACTGAGCAACAGTCCAGTGCTGCTTCTCTGTAGCCCAGGTCAGGCGCTTCTGCCGCTGTTTCTGGTTCAAAAGTGGCTTGACCTGGGGAATGCGGCACCTGTAGCCCATTTCCTGCACACGCCTGTGCACGGTGGCTCTGGATGTTTCTACTCCAGACTCAGTCCACTGCTTCCGCACGTCCCCCAAGGTCTGGAATCGGCCCTTCTCCACAATCCTCCTCAGGGTCCGGTCACCTCTTCTCGTTGTGCAGCATTTTCTGCCACACTTTTCCCTTCCCACAGACTTCCCACTGAGGTGCCTTGATACAGCACTCTGGGAACAGCCTATTCGTTCAGCAATTTCTTTCTGTGTCTTACCCTCTTGCTTTAGGGTGTCAATGATGGCCTTCTGGACAGCAGTCAGGTCGGCAGTCTTACCCATGATTGATGTTTTGAGTAATGAACAAGGCTGGGAGTTTTTAAAAGCCTCAGGAATTTTTTGCAGGTGTTTAGAGTTACGTCGTTGATTCAGATGGTTAGGTTAATAGCTTGTTTAGAGAACCTTTTCATGATATGCTAATTTTTTGGGACTGGCATTTTGGGTTTTCATGAGCTGTATGCCATAATCATCAGTATTAAAACAATTAAAGACCTGAAATATTTCAGTTGGTGTGCAATGAATCTGAAATATATGAAAGTTTCATTTTTATCATTACATTATGGAAAATAATGTCCTTTATCACAATATGCTAATTTTTTGAGAAGGACCTGTAAATGTTCACATGTAAAAGGAGGACCGTCAGCCCAATGATTGGTCGTTAGTGCTCTGATGGATGCTTGTTATTCAGAGAGACATCATTGTAAGAGGGGGATAGTTGAACACGGAGGCCTCCACCCGTTTAATGATGGACGGTTTCTTTTCACAAAGATGGCCTCCTTTACTCCTCTCTCAAACCATCGTTCCTCTCTGTCCAGGATGTGAACATCTTCATCCCTGAAAGAGTGACCGCTGGCCTGGAGATGAGTGTAGACCCCAGAGTCCTGGCCTGATGATGTTGATCTTCTGTGCTGGGCCATCCTTTTGGCCAGTGGCTGTTTAGTTTCCCCGATGTAAAACTGATCACAGCCCTCCTGACACTGAACAGCATGGAAAGGAGCAGCATTAACACACGAATCACATGTACATTTGAGATTTTTTTTTATAGCTATAACTGGAGCCATACGTCCAACATGTCAAAATCACAGATGATTATTCTTTTGCAGAACAAAGTATTTAGAAATTATTTTTGATGTGGAACGTTAGCACCTTAAAGAGGCCAGCTGCTGCAGGATTTGTGTCGTTGCTGCCTCTTTGAAACTTCTGGTAGTTGATCAAAATATTAGTAACTTTTTTTAAAACTACAATCAAATCGCAAACGAGATTTCAGTTTGTGTATTCATTTGTGTAATGTTTGGTTAATTGTAAGTGTCAAACTGAGTGGAACATCTGGTTCCAGATGCTATCATTAGCATGAATGTGCTGCACTTCTTTAAAGCACTCATTGCACATTAAAGGTGCACAGCTGCAAAACAAGTGACGTGGAAAGGAAGTTCCAGTTTTAATGTCAGTGCTGCTGTAAAAACACTAACTAGAAGTATACGCAGCATGTCAGCCAAATATTTGACCACCTGGGGCATATAAAGAAACAAACCAAAGTATCCTGATGCATGCTCAATAATCCAGGTAGAAAAATCTAAAAAAGTTAAATCTGGTCCTCTGGACATTCAAAAAAAA